TCAAAGATTTTATTTAGATTTCGAACAGGCACATAGAAACTTGTTTAGTAAAAAAGTACTTGTCGCATAAAAATCTTGTATTGTTATTCTACAAACTCTATAAGGGTGGTGTGGTGAAGTAAAATATAAACAACTGTGCTAGCGTACTTATAAGAAGGATAACCTTACAAGCTTTTTGAAATAGTAATCCTGAATACAGCGCACAAAGCCTAAGTTACGGGAAGTAGAATGCGAAGACACAGATGAAACAAAACCTTCAAAGCAACACTTCTTTCACCACAACACCTCACTCCCTTGACAAACACTCCGTCTAATTCCGCGTGGTCTAGAAGATATTTTACGAATACTCTTCACTGATATAACACTATATTAAGAAGTAAACGAAATATAACTGTGTGTTCCAAGTGTGTTTCAGGCAATGTAGTTAACATGCAATTACATAACTATGGTATAACGTGGAGAGAATCCTATTAATGAAAAGGTCGTGAATTCGATTCCCACCAAGACCAACACGTTTAATCAATTTATTATTTTTCTAAAACATGTTGCATTTCGTCTAAAATCTGGATATTATAAAATGTAATGGTCACGAACTTTATAAACAAGCCGTGAAGTTTATCGTTTCGGATTTAGTCCGCGGATTTCCGAATCTCGAAGTCAAAATAGGTTGACAGAGCGTCATGTTTAGATATTATATGGCTAGGGTATTCCACGCTATCAAAAAAAAAAAACTTAATGTAGTCGTCTTCTTTATTATTTTTGTGTGTCAAATACCAAAGTCTAGAAAATACACACATATACCTTCTGAGATAGAAAATCTCGGAATTCTGTGTGAAATCGCCGAAGTGCATATAAACCTTTGTAGGAGATAGTACAATGATAGAGTATAGGCGAAATAATGCCTTCAAAGCAGCGCTAATAACCCAACTCGGCTTGCAACAGATTTCAACAGCTTCGGAACGCAGTAATTTAATCCGTATTTCAACCGCAGCCGAGGTTTAACACGGCCACGTATATTTCTCGATGTTTCAGATTGATTAGAAGGAACCTATTTCGAAACACAAAGGTGGTGACGAAGGTCTCGTTATCCCAATGGTAGCGGGGCCTAAAACCAACACTGATTGGCTTCAATTTTCACCAGGTCTAATATTCTAAACGTTGGTTAGAATCTGAACTTTGAATTGGTGGTAGGAATGTCATAATTGCACCCAAATCGCGAACTACCCACAGATGTTAAAGCCTTGATCTGTAAATCTGTTTTTATTTCAGCTTATTGATTTCTAATTGTCCTGAGCAAAATTATTCCGGACATTTCCATAAAACTTATCAACTCTGTTGAAATAACAATAAAAAGATACATATATTCGAAATATTTATTTATTTCTCTATAATAAAAAATACTTCACTTATATAATCAAGGCGCGATTAATTAGTGAATTATTTCAGTCAAGCAGTAAAATATTCTTAGCTTTCTTCGTATAGATAGATTCTATACTAATATTATTAAGTTGAAGAGTTCGATTTATTTAAATAAAACACTTCAACGGTTTAAAACGCGATATATTAGTTAAACTTAGAGAGTTAGATTGTCTAAAAGGACAAAACTGTAGTTTGAATTGATATTCATTGATTCGACTGACCATTTATCGCAGATAGCTTTGGGCTATATATATATACGCTACAACTAATAGGAGCGTAGAAAAAGTGAAAAAAAAAGACAAATATTCTTCTCCAGGGGCTATCGTTGCGTGCGCTGCGCAAGCGGTTCAAGGAACCAAAAAAATACATATTAAATAAGACTCCAAATTAAGTGATCTAAAAATGTCACCGACAGAATATATGCTTTTTAAGATAAACTCGCAGGACTAGAAGACTCGCAACCGTTATTTAGGAATAAAATTTAGTAGAAAATTATGTAGCAATTATATCAATGGTTAATGAATATAACCTCCCTATAAGCTAATGAACAGGATCGATTTGTCCCGGTCTACCTGCGTATTAGGATTAATTAGGACTCCCAATATTATTGTGTAATCGGATCTTGAGGCGCCGGCCGAGACGTGATCATTCGTCTGAATGAATTAGCGACCGCTGTCTAATTAGACCACCATATGTGCTTGTGTCTAATTATTAATACAGAATTATAATAATATATTGTGTAATAACTATCCCTTTATATGGCCACCTACCACACTGTAAATTACTGGAAAGCATCTTATATTCGTGAAAAGGTCTTAAATATTATCAGAAATTTAAAAAAATGTGTAAGGCTTTCACGGCGATCGTTCGGCATATCATTGTTTTTCTTGCTTTTCGGCCGATGTGGCTAATTCTTCGAGCAAACGTGGAGCTAACATCGCCTGATGGTGCCGTACGCTCGTGGTGACGAAACGTCGAGAACCTCTTGTCGCTCACGTCGGCCGAGCAGCCCGAAAAACAATGATTCTGCTGAACATCAGAAATTATGATAAAGCACTAAAACACTAAACTAAACTACATAGCCGTGTCATGTCTAAATATTATATTTTATAATAAATTTAAAATTATGTTATTGAAAATTAAAAATCTATTTAACAACAAGCTCTACGCAATTATGATTCTGTAAAAAACAAAAACACCTAATGATCGAAAGAGTCATTATTCATATTTAGGATTTTGTTATTTCTGTCATTATTAAAAAATAAAAGAGAATTATAATTGTCATATATTCGCTTTTATTCTTTCTCTAAAACGATTGAACCAAAATAATTTAAAACGACTCATCTACAGACCCTATTTTTTCATAGCAAAAAGTGCTACAATGATCAAACTAACGTGCCACGCCTTCCACACATCACTAGCGATCAGAACAGGTGCCAATCAATCTCATCCGCCGTCCACCTGATTAGTGATGCACCACTTATCGAGAAACTGGAAACCTATCGACAGTGCGGTGTCGGCGATAACGTCTCGAATGTTTGCATGTTTGTTTACGCCTGATTAGTTTCTTAACGGGCGCAACAAATTGATCTATATTAGTAACGATTTGATGGTCTTTTTAACACTCTATAGCGGAACACGTTTCATTAATGAACGTTATTTTAATTAAAGTTTTTGGTACAATAAATAAGTTATTAAAAAAAAACGTTGCACAAGATGGCACTATATAAATAAAAAATCGATTATAAATTAAAAAAAAATTACGATTCGGGCAGGACTTGAACCGACATCCACAGCGTTCCGTGCTGTTGTTCTAACCAATTGAGTTACCGAGTCCTGCACTTCGTCATCGATTTTTTGTACTTATTGATACATGTGCCTCTCGCATGAGTTTTATATATAAATAAAACCATAGAAAATTTTTAAAAATTGTTCCTATAATGTACTTTACAGCGTTAAAAGTTACAATATAACAAAATAAAAATGTCGATAAAATATGATAAAAAGACATGTTATTTATCGATATGTCACACCCACTAAAAAGCGTAATCTGTATCTATAAAATGAATGAGAGACTTTCTAATCAGATAAGCTTAAAGCTCAGTGTGTGCGCATGTTGATTGTGTATTGAAAAATGTATGTTTTATCTTTAAAAATTAGATTAAAGATAAAAGATCGACCACTATAGAGGATTATCTATGTCTGTTTTAGGTACATACTGGCTGGATAATTTTTAGAAAAAAAAGACTAGCAATTATTTATAAAGTAATATACAGTAAAAGATTTGACCAATAGCTTAGTTTTGTTGTAAATAAGTGGTTATGTTGAAGTTATTTATTCCGAAAAGGGAGATTTTAAGATACCATTAAATAATACAAAGTATATCAACAATGCAAAAATTAACGGATTTAAAGCTGTTCTTTAGGGTACAAATAAGTAATTAAGGAATATCAGGTAGAGAAATAATTACTGAACTAACCCATAAACGTACATAAAATTACAAATGAGAATTGATATCAAGAAATGTTCACTTAATAAGTGAAAGTATCACGTTCAAAGTCTTTGACCCAACGTTTTAAAATCTTAGTTAAATTAACAAGCTGGTGACATTTTAACTGCGCCATTCCATAGTGACCGCTTGTCGGTGGGTGGCCAACTCGTGCGCATGTAACTTCCGAACTTATCTTCCAAATAAATAAAATACCGATGACAGTTTTGATAACGTTTAAAATGATTAAGGCTGGTGTTTTTCTAAATCTACAAAGATGTCTTTTAGATTTTGAAAGAAATAAAAATAACATCATCGAAACAAACATTTACAAGTAAATTTATTATTCAAACTAGCTGTGTCAGCGACTTCGTCCGCGAGAATCGTTATTTGGGCATCCAAATTCAGTTTGGCAAACCCCTTCATATTTATAAACTTAAGCTATTACCCACGATGTCGGTCGCGTCCCTTCTCGTCGCTCTTGCAAGTTGATCTTCAAAAGATCAACTTACAATTTAGCGTCGCGGACTTTTTTTGAGATCATTTAAAGAGAAATCATTTTTTCATACATATTTTTCCGGTATCTTGAACCGTTTCTGCAATTTTATTCACTTTTCTCGCTGTTTCTTTGTTTGTATTAGTCACAGGTCAATGGAACCAGTAGTTCCTGACATTAGCGCGTTCAAACAAACAAACTCTTCAGCTTTATATTTGAATAGATTATATGTAGTTTTAAATTAGTAACTTTAAGGATTAAAATGTAAATTTTATTATTTCCTTTTACAATACAACCATTTTGTAATTATCTTGTGAAACAGAGTTAAATAATAATCGTATCCATGATGCGTAGGAGTGTATTGCGTGGTGCAATGACATATTGTTTTCATCATACGTTTAATTTGTATAATAACTTTGAAATGGATAACATCCTGTGATGATTGAATAATATGTATGTTATACTGTAATTATTTCCGGGTTTATTGTATTTGTATATCTTTATATCAGTGTGCTGAAGTCTGGCACTTATATACCTCCCTAATAGTTCTTTTTTCACACAATTTTATTATTAATTATTATTTCATTTTGTCCACAGACATAAAAGAAAAGTAACAAATCTCCTTCCATCAAAGTCGACAGCGCCAAGTCAAAGTTCTGGGTCTCAGCGCAGAGCTCCACCTCCAGCGCCGTTGTACGAAGACCTTCAGGATCTGCCGAGGAGACCACCTTTACCTCAGAGACCCGATATAGAACCTCAATTAGAGGTAGGTTTCCAATTCAAAGTTTTTAATGTTGTATTTGAAAGCTGGTCAACAATTTAAATCAATATCAAGTTCATTCATCATTTTAACGGTTTAAAACGCGATATATTTTAGTTGAACTTGTTTGAAAATAATTTTTAACTACAGCCCGACATGACCCGTGACCGCGGCTGCTGCAAAGCATCCGAAACGTCGGGCCGTGTCGATTCAATGTCAATTGTTAAATTTGGTTTTTTATTACCTTAAAAACTATCTGTTTGTCTATTTTTTAATAAACACTTCTTTATTTCAGATGGTAGAGACAAAGAGACCAAATTGCCAAGGGCGGGTTTTCGTCTGTGGCACCAGCGGCTCGTGGAGAGGCAACAATCCATGCGGAAACGCTTGTAACGCACCCGTTTACGAAGAGCTGCCTCACAGATCAGATGACTCAGTACATAGTGATGATCACTTCGCAGAGGATGAACTAAGCCTGGTCGGTGACGTCCTCCCCTGTCGGACATGTTCGAGACCTCCACAATCACTCCCCCATCGACCAAGACAGCAGCGATTAGACCGAAGACCAAAATCCTTAGATAGGAGACGAGGACACAGGGTGCCTAGACATGTTCATCCGCCGGATCCATCCGAATTTCACGAGGGAGTCCTGCTAGATGCTTTATTAAGATTGTACCCTCAAGTGGGAACGGTCGGAGCGAGACCGTCTGGTCCTATGCCCATTAGTGCCGGCGGTGCCTGGCCAGGTGGCGAATTGCCTGGTATAGCTTGCTGGAGAGGACCCAGAGCCTCTCCCAAACCGCCCAGCGGAGATTCCTCTTTCGGATCTGATTCAGGTTATAGCAATAACACATGTGGGACATGTGGTACAAGAGCTTCATCCAGGCACAGATTATCCGCGGAGATACCTTTGTCATGAGTTAATAGACTTGGTTTAGTGCCATAACTCCGTTTCGTGGAGTCGCATTTATTAGTGTCTCACGGCCTACCAATAAGTGACGGCCTCTTGCCTTCTTCAATAATAGTGATAAGTTGATTCCTTGTAGTGTTTCTATTCTGTACAAAAGAGGTATTAGCAACAATCTAGCAGACTTACCTTTTTATTTAAGTGCTTTGTAATTTTTTTTTCATTCAATTATTTTTGTACAAAATTAGGTATACTTTCGATCGTGTAGGTTATTTCAAGCTAGTCCTAAATTTATTGCAATCATAAAATTAATACATTTTATTTAATGGAAATGAAATTGTTTGACGGGATTTGTAGATATTGTATAAATTAGCGTAAGTTAGAATAGCGAGTTGAATTTTATAATCATATCACTTTAAAATTACGTCGCATTTCACGAATTCCTTTCAAATATTTTCTATCTGTCAAGTAGGGATTTGTATCACTGGTGCTAAAAGCATATTAATTATTTAATTCTGCCGTTCCAAAAAGTTACAAGTTACTACAGTATTTAGATGATTGTGTAATAGGTTTTCTAAGAAATTTCATTAAATAAACCACAGATTATAATAGCCAGCTATTCTATTATAAAGCTAAGGAAAAGTATAATATTTATTACTGATGTAATTGGAAAGTGTTAGAATGCAAGAAACAAATAATGGAAAAGCTGGCTACCAACAATACTTCCATCATATAGTAATAACTTACATATTCTAGCGCATTGAAATTCTAAAATGTTCTTCGTTCCTGCTGTCAGAATTTGTATTTTTATTGTATATCCAAAATTATTGTTCTCGTTTATATTTAGTTTAAGCGATATTTATTTATTATCTAATAATAATTGTTTCGAGTTGTATAGTTTGAGATTTTCATGAATAGTGTAATTGAGAATTTCGGTCGTAAATATGAGGAGCACAATAAATAAAAAATAAATACATTTTTAATGAATTTCGGTTTTTGAATTCACACTCACCTTCAGAATATTATTTAACTACCTACAGTTTTTTTTTTCAAACTGTAGGTAGGTAAACAATTTTTCTAAATCCTTGACACACATATTACGGGTCCATTATAATCTTTCGTTCCCGTACTATTGTTACTCCACGAAGTGAACTAGATCTTTGCCCTGTGGGACTAACATGTGCGCTCTCGCGTCTATTGACAATATGTTAAAGATCTCCGATATATGTTTCATATTACATGAAATTAAACCTAAGCCTTCATACACAAGATGTAACTCATAAAATTAACTAGTTCCATCTTGTAAATCAAGATGAAATGGCACCGTTGACACACAAATTTACAAAGTGAGTCTATGAAATAGGAGAGAACATTTTTTCGGGATCTTGACAAACCTGCTAAGAAAAAACTCAAAAAGAAGACCTGCGGTTTCCGTTGGGTCTCATAGGACTTTGAAGAATTGTTTTTAAATGGCTTTTGAACTTTTAATTGATCATTAGTGCCGTTATTAGTCATATTGAATTTGTTCTTTTAATAAAACAAATTAATAATTAAGGCATATTCATAAAAATTGTATATGCAAATCCATTCGAATTTTGAAAAATAGGGAATATTGTGAATCCTAGCAATAACTTTGGTCATTGTGAGAAAATTTATGATTGAATCAAAGAACTACCTCGTAAGCCCAGGAGACGCATTAAGGAGATAAGCAAGTAGCCGAGTGCGTTTTTAATAATAGCCCACCGCTTTGCCGCTTTCTTCTGAGACAAATACAAATAGACTTGTTTCGTAGGGCGTCAGCAAAAAACTCTTTTGTGACTTTATCACAGACGTCTTTATTGCGCTTATTTGGGTGACTTTGTAACATTGAAATTTTAGACTGTTCTGGACTAACTGTGATAATAATCTATATAAATATAATATACAATAACTGTTGTATTGTAGTCTTTATTATGCTTAATAGAAAGTCATTATCGATCAGTGAAAAAGAAATATACATACACAGGTTATATTTTATAATTTTAATGGTTATCGCATTGAATTTTTTTAACACTTCAAAAGTACATCATAACATAAGTTGAACAATTTTTTGAGTTGACTTATTTTTGATTTTGAATAATTGCAACTTACACTCATGCACTATACTTTACAATTTGGTGGTTCGTGGCCCGAAATGAATTTCGTTATTTCTACCATCATTTTTATAAGTCCTAAAATGATTTATAACCATGTAGGACCTGGTGAAAATCCCATGACCCATTAGTTTACTGGCTATACATCATTATAACTGGAACAACGAGTCCGTCTATATTTAATCCAGACGTAAAGAATATTCTATAAAAAAAATCCTGGTAAATCAGAAAAACTTAACTCAAAATTACCCACGCCCGTAAAGTAAGAAATTACCAGTTTTAAATAACAGAATATGAAAATTTAATTACATCGAATAAAAGCGCTTCAGTGTTAATTTTAATTATTTTATAACGAAATGGACATTTATAATTATCTCCCGAACGGATTACAGAATAACTCGTGCAAGTTTAATTCGAGTTATTGAACTAATTGATTGCGGTACAAAATGCTTAATTGTGTTTATTAATTTGTCATGTAATTATCGACATGGAGCTCCGAATGTGTCATTTAAAATTATTATTTAATAGACACGTCATACGTTTGAAAACTTTAATATTTTCACATGTTATTGCACATAATGACTCTATACAAATTAAATTTAAGTCATACGTTTTTTTAAATTAGTTTTTTTTAGATTAGTTTGATACTAATAAAGCATCAAGGATTCTTAAAAGTTATTAGGAATTCAATCATCAATAAACGAGAAAAAACATCAAATGTCATAGGTTCTAGTCCTATCCGTGTTAACGTTTGTTTAATTTCAATTTAGACTTTAATTTAAACCTGAAAATATTATATAAGTGTTTTATTTAAAAAAACACTTTAACGGGTTGAAACGCGACGCATTTTGATTAAACTTGTTTGAAAATTATTTTTAATTACGGCTCGACGTTCAGCGTATCAGTTTTTATTTTGACGTCAGAGACATCCTGCATATTTTTTCGTGACCACGACTGCTGCAAAGCAGGCCGTCGGGCCGTAGTTAAACATATTTTTCAAACAAAATAAACCGTGTATTATTGTATTATTTAAATAAAAATATTTTTTCAATTGGAACCAGATATTAGTGCGTTCTCACATACATACGAACAAACTCTTCAGCTTTATAATATTACTACAGATACAATATACATATTAAAAATAGTAAATTAACTACTACCTACTTTAATACAAAACAAAATAAAATAAATAACCTAACGTTGTATTAAAGTTTGCGTTGCTATCGCTAGGAATTCCATAATTAATAAAGCTTTTATTGCTATCCGTATATATAAAGCTTGCATCTCTTTCCCGGTAAGCTCAACAATACACAGAGATAGAATCTCACTTATTACGTACAAGTGTATAAATGCTAGATGTGACTTACCGTTGCGGTCCTTGATGTAAAAAACTAGATACGTCACTAGGTGGCTTTTATTAATATTTTAATACTTTCTTTCCTTCTTAATTGTGGATAGTTAAAGGTCTATCTTTATGATAGGATTAGTATTTTATACCTAAGTTTAGTAATTTGTAGCGACTTATATTTGCCGTAAATCTTATCCGTTATATTGGTAAGCCTGACTCGTTGCAAATATTTCTTTACTTATCTAAGTAAAGAAATATTTGCAACGAGACGTTAAAACCATATGTACAAAAGACTAGCAACATCTAGTAAATGTATAACTTTGTCACAGCAAATATTAATAAGCCGCCTAAGGCAGTGTTGATTTATGCGCTTAGACTTGCGCAAATGAATACATTTTAACATACACACAAACATACCGCAAGGACGGATTCTAGTTTAGAAATTTTATTTAGGGCCCTAAGGCTGTGATTTTCGTAACTTTTAGCAAAAGCTTTCAAACAGAGAGTTAAAATTTGATCATCGAAGTTAGTTCACACAAAGTAATGCATATTTTAATTTAGTTATATATAAAATTATTTAATAAATAATTAATTGCGCAATTTTGAAGTCCTTACCTTTTATATGGGAATGTAGTTTAGTAGGCCAGTTTTGCCAAATACCAACTTCGACGAAACAGATAGCGCTAGCTAGCGTAGCAGATTTTACTTTAACGTCAGAGACACCCAGATCTTTAGTCCCCCCTTGACCACGGTTGCTGCAAAGCATCAGGCCGTAGTTAACGTAATTCAAATAAGTTTTACTAATATATCGCGTTTTAAACCGATATGTTTTTTAAAGTATTTATCTATCTACTTCCAAAATAAATATATCATCAAAGTCGGTTTATAAAGGACAAAGTTATAAAAAAACAAAAAGTTGCGTTATCTATAAGATTTTAGAAGGTTATATACACTAGAGCCCCCTTTATCACCTGTCTGTATTAAAAAACCTAACGATGATGTATTTTTAACTGTAAGTCCATCCCTGTGCTTCGCACCGCCAGCCATATCACTGAACGAGGACGTTATTTATCGAGAGGACTGTACCGAAGATGAAAATGGATTATTATAACATGACAATTTTGTCTTGTCTTACACTAATAACTTGGGGGACGGAAGTATTTGCTTTGCGTCTGAAAAGATCTGCTAAGGATAGTGTCATAAATATGCCATATGTTTAGTGTTTAACGTTATATGGTTTGACCCCCACGACTTTTTGCTTTGTAATGTTAATTTACTTAAGCTTTGAATTACGAACCTAATGAAAAACTATTTATAATAGCCAGTCCTGCTATATTTTCATATGATAGAGGAACACAGACAGACATGAGGTTCAATTGATAGTATGTAGTAGTTCTTGGCTTTGGATATTTGGAAATCCGTAGACTGAAACCGAAAAGCGATTAAACTTCACAGTTTCACCTGTGGACGGTAGTTCGTGACCCGGAAGGAGTTCAATGTTCATATCACCCATTTGACCACCATTTATTTTC